CAAAAAGGACAAGAACTTCCAAAACAATGAAAAATTTGAGTTCATATATTTGCCAGTTATATTTTAAGGACATAAGTTTTTATCTTTAATTAGTAAATTTGGGAGTCAATCCGTAAAGCTTATCATATTTAAAGACACATATCCCAGCACAGTGCAAATACAATCATTCAACACCCACCCCCCAGTTTCTCATTGAGTAACAGGGATTGGTCCGTCTCACCATCTCAAAAAGACAGATTTTTTTGGTGCTTCTTCACGATCATGGCTGCTCGGAGGATATCCTCGCTCTTATCTCGTTCCCTCGCTTCTTCATCTGCTCTCCTTTCCAAAGGTAACGCAACCACAAAGACGCCATCTATTATTTTCGTCTTAAATCTGTTTTTTTTTCCATCGGTCATTACTTCTGTTATTCTGTTCTAAAGTTCAAGCTTTCGATAAGTCCTTCCTCTTGATCTCTTTGTTCTCAACCCCCAAACAGAGAGATCAATTAAGGTTCTGGAAAATCCGATCAGTATTGAGTACCTATAGTTTCTCTCTCTTTTGGTTGAAATATTCCATCTTTCTGTTTGTCCATAAAAGGATCCAGAGAAAGAGTAAGATTGTGAGGGCACTTATGGTAACACGTCCATGAAACGAATCAAGTGATCGCCCAGAGCATGTCTCCTCTCCCGTATGTGCAGATGTAGTGAGTGGGAATTTTATGATAACGAGGGAAGTTAAGAGTTCTAAATGCTGTTTATGCCCCCTCTGTTATTTTGGATCATTTTCTTAATGTCTTGATCCATCAGAACTTTTTAATCTGTCCTTGAGATTTCGAGGGCTTGACGACTGATTTATATTTCTAGTAAATAGCAGGCTTTCTATAAATCGGAAACTCTAAATTAAATGATGGATTCTATCTTTGATCAGGGAGGAGACCTTCCGGTGGCAGATATAGCACTGCGGCTGCTGTTGAAGACCCGATTACTCCATCTGTGAAAGTAAATTACACCCAGCTATTAATCAACGGACAGTTTGTCGACTCGGTGTCAGGTAAACCGTTGAGACCCAGTTCCTATGGGATTCGGAAAGCAGCCATTTTGATAATGGGTTGTGTCTGTGAATTCAGGAAAAACTTTTCCTACGCTGGACCCAAGGACTGGGGAAGTGATTGCGCAAGTGGCTGAAGGTGACGCCAGAGATATTGATCTTGCAGTTTCCGCTGCACGCAACGCATTTGATGAAGGGCCTTGGCCTAGGATGACTGCTTATGTTAGAACATATTATATATAGACATACGTTGCCTTCTTTTACTAGTCTCATCCCATGCATGCGTCCGCCCACTCTACTCTGGCTAATCAACAACTCATCTGCAGGAAAGATCGAAGATACTTCTGCGATTTGCTGATTTGGTTGAAAAGCATGCTGATGAAGTTGCTGCCCTGGAGACTTGGGACAACGGGAAGACCTTCGAACAGTCGGTCAAACTGGAAGTCCCAATGTTTGTACGCCTGTTTCGATACTACGGTGGTATGTCTAGTCTAGTCGAGGTTTTAACTTTCTATTCGAGAGTAGTGCTTGTGTTAATTGCCTTGCCTTGCCTACACTTACCTCAGGATGGGCCGATAAGATTCATGGACTCACTGTTCCAGCCGATGGCTCATATCATGTGCAGACCTTGCACGAACCAATTGGCGTTGCGGGTCAGATAATTCCATGGAACTTTCCTCTGCTCATGTTTGCCTGGAAGGTTGGTCCAGCACTAGCATGTGGCAATACTATTGTTCTCAAGACAGCCGAGCAGACACCTTTGTCTGGTCTCTTTGTGGCTAAGCTATTGCACGAGGTAGGTGCCCGATCAAAACTCTCATCTCTTTCCTCACAGCAGGATCAGGTCCATCTATTGTTGATACTCCAACTCCAACTCCAACTCCAACTACAACTACAACTACAACTGCATCCTTTTTTATGGCAGGCTGGACTTCCTGAGGGCGTTCTCAACATCGTTTCTGGTTATGGGCCCACCGCTGGTGCTGCTCTTGCCAGCCATATGGAAGTTGATAAGGTAGGTAGTTCTTTTTGTCCTTCAAATTTTTGGTGTTGGGTAACGTAAGACCTTATGAAACAACACGTGCAAGTCATTTGTGTAAATGGATTCTTCCTACTGCCGTTTAATCATGATCTGTTATACATTTTTCTTCTAACTGACATGAGATAAATTTCTTCTAACTGACATGAGATAAAGACTTATCATATGGTATTTATGCCCTTCACATTTATCTCCTGTTCTTTTTTTTTTTAACAAGAAACAAACTTTTCATTCATATTATGGAAAGGAAAAGGAAGAACAATATTCAATTTTATCTTCTGTTCTTGTACTACAAGTTTTACTTGAACCAGACAATTCTTCTTTTCCCAGCTTGCTTTTACTGGATCGACGGAAACAGGGAAGATTGTACTTGAACTAGCTTCAAAGAGCAATCTGAAGCCAGTAACGTTGGAGCTTGGCGGAAAATCCCCTTTCATTGTATGTGAGGATGCTGATGTGGATAAGGCTGTCGAGATGGCACACTTTGCTCTCTTCTTCAACCAGGTACGTCAAACAAACTGATGACGATGAAAAACATGGTATGATCACATAACCATTCATCTTCCACCAAAAATATGTTCTCTTACAGGGACAATGCTGCTGTGCTGGTTCTCGTACTTTTGTTCATGAAAAAGTATATGATGAGTTTCTAGAAAAAGCTAGGAAACGAGCTGCAAACCGTGTTGTTGGTGATCCATTCCTGGGTGGAATTGAGCAAGGTCCTCAGGTGAGTGAGCTAGAACCAGAACAGAACAAGCACTATCACAAGTTTTTGAGTCAAGAAAGTCAATCAGCATGGTTTTTTATGTCTTTTATCCTACTGGAATCTTGCAGGTCGATGGCGAACAATTCAAAAAGATTTTGAGATATATAAAATATGGGATTGAAGGTGGAGCCACTCTTGAAGCTGGAGGAGAGAGGTTTGGTTCCAAGGGTTACTATATCCAACCAACAGTTTTCTCAGACGTTAAGGTCTATATGTAGTTAGTTAGTTATAGCAGAAGTAATACCAGTTTTTTTTTTACTACAGAAGTAATACCAGTTACATGGAAACTAGTGGACCTATATTTTAAGCATCTATCTAACATCATCATTTTTTGTGTTAGGATGACATGAAAATTGCACAGGAGGAGATTTTTGGTCCTGTACAGACAATCTTGAAATTCAAGTAAGTGAAACTAGTTTCTACTTTTAGTGTCTCTATATGAATATGATGGGCAGTGGGGAGGCTGCTGCTATATGTATGACAACGACAATCTACAGTATCAGAGATTTAATGACATAGATTTACGGTTGCAATTTAAAATATAGCTGAGAGAGTTAATTGACCTTTTCTGGTAATTGCAGAGAGCTTGAGGAGGTGATAAGGAGAGCAAATGCTAGTCGCTATGGGCTGGCCGCTGGGATCTTTACTCACAATATCGACACAGCCAACAGGCTTACACGTGCGCTGAGAGTTGGGTCTGTGTGGATCAATTGCTTTGACATATTTGATGCCGCAATTCCTTTTGGTGGGTACAAGATGAGCGGACATGGACGAGAAAAGGGCATCTACAGCCTCAGCAATTACCTGCAAGTGAAGGCTGTTGTCACTCCTTTGAACAACCCTGCTTGGCTTTAGGATGGATCATCCCAATGCTTTTCTTTTTCTTTTTTTGTTCCCATCACCACCAATAAAATGGATATACATGTGAAGGCATGATGTGATGGCAGTTTAATATAATGAATTATCATTTCAGAAATGTTGTTTCTCTACTTCTATGTGTTGTTTAATACAAGAATCAAAATCTAGAATCCCGAAATAAATATATGCATGACAAAGCTGGTTTGAAATGGATAGTGTCAAATCAAAGGCCTCTCCTCCACTGAGTTTGGGATCGGCAAATTCTATAAATAATTCCACCTGTTGCTTGTTAAAAGATGCAAGATGACGGAAATAAAATTACAGACATACATCTCCTGAAGCATTCACTTTCTATATCAATTTGCTCCACCACGCAGCCAAACCACATGGATGTTCCAACAAATTATACAACTTGCAACTCGTTAGTTAAATAAACTAATAGCCCCCTTAGCAACTGGTTGATGAATCCCCACCCCAAATTGTTGTTAGAAGTAATAATAAAACATCACAAGAGAAAGCTTCCCCTGGCCCTGCCTGGTGCCTGCCTTCTCAATGGAGATTGCTTGGAAGCTCAGCTAGGGTCTCAAACCTCAAGCAAACTAAAAGAGGAGAGCACCGGAAGGAAATACCCAATTTTGCATTTGGGTTTCAGCGGCTCCAGGAGAGGCCGTATGCAACATTTATTCTTTCACCCGTTCAGTCGAAAAAATTATTGCAACTAAAAATCTCAGCCGTTCATTCATTGGACACGAACGACTGAGATCGGGATGTATTTGGATGTCCTTATAGCACTCGCATAACCGTCAATTTTCTATCGCCCACGCTCAGACTTTTGTATTAACTTACCATAGTTAGATCCAGTTTGAATCTTCGATGGTTCTCGCCGGAGGAACGACCGGCGGACATGGAGATTCGGAATCGACCCTCCTTCTGGCAACTAAGGCACCCAAAGATTCATTCCATCTGGCCTACATAATCTACTTCACATTGGGCTTCGGTTATCTCCTTCCATGGAACGCTTTTGTTACGGCTGTCGACTATTTCTCCTATCTCTACCCTGATGCAAGCGTGGATCGCATCTTTGCTGTTGTTTACATGGTGGTTTCCCTAATTTGCCTCGTCTTCATTGTTCTTTATTCCCACAAGTCCAACGCATACGTCAGGATCAACGTGGGTTTGATCCTCTTTGTGGTGACCCTGCTTGTGGTTCCAGTCATGGACGTGGTTTACACTCGGGGTCGGGTCGGGTTGTACGAGGGACTATATGTCACGGTCGGATCGGTAGTGGTGTGTGGTGCTGCTGATGCCATGGTGCAGGGTGGGGTGATTGGCTCTGCCGGTGAGCTACCGGAGAGGTACATGCAGGCTGTTCTGGCTGGCACCGCCGGTTCTGGTATTTATTTCTTTTTCTAATTGTTAAATGCTAATTTCTGTTTGTCTATTCAGTTTTTTTAGATTTCGACGCTTTTTTCATCCTTTAGTTAGGGTCTAATTGTTCTTTTTAGTAAACTTAGGGCAAATTTCTTAGATCACTTATTACTGATTTGCAACTAGGAAAGATGTCAGGTGTGTAATTTGGATCACATATCTGGTTCACCCTTTTGTTGAGATCAACCGCTCAAGGGTTGGGGTGTAGAATGGTTAGTAGACAAAGAGGTCTTTGAGGTGTATAATTGGAATCACACGTCTCTTTTACCCTTTTTTTGTGGCCCATGAGATTAACCGCTCAAGGGTTCAGGTGTAGAGTGGTTAGTAAACACAGACCTTGCATTGCAATTGCATGCCTTCGATTTCACGTGTGAACAGAAGGATTAGTTCTTTTTATGGAAACAACAGTAACCTTTTACGTGCTATCCTGTAATATGGTTGGCTGATTTGTAGGCAAGCGTTTGTCAGTTAACTGAACTAATGGAGGTGTACTAAATCGCTGACTGACTTGACTGCAGGGGTCCTTGTTTCTGTTTTGAGGATTCTAACCAAATCTGTATTCCCGCAAGACGCCAGTGGCCTGAGGAAAAGTGCAAACCTTTACTTCGCCGTTTCCATTGTGGTTATGGTTATATGTATAGTATTTTACAATGTGGTCGAAAAGCTTCCAGTTGTGAAGTATTACAAGGACTTGAAGGTACAAGCAACGAACATGGAGGAAGAGGAAAAAGGACCTCTGACTGGGTCGGTATGGAGATCAACGTTGTGGCAGATAGTAGAAAGTGTAAAGTGGTATGGGTTTGGCATTGTCCTCATCTATTTAGTAACTTTGTCAATATTTCCAGGATACATTACTGAGGATGTCCATTCTTCCCTTCTCAAAGACTGGTACTCTATTCTCCTTATTACTGGCTACAATGTGTTCGATCTTGTTGGCAAGTCCCTCACTGCAGTTTATGTTGTTCAAACTACCAAGATTGCTATTGGTGGATGTGTTGTGAGGCTCTTGTTCCTTCCGCTCTTCTTCGCGTGTCTTCATGGCCCCCCAATCTTCAGGACTGAGATTCCCGTAACGTTTCTAACTTGCCTAATGGGTCTTACCAATGGCTACTTGACAAGTGTTCTGATGATGATGGCCCCAAAGGTTATCCAATTACAACATGCAGAAACTGCAGGAGTTGTCATGGTTTTGTTCTTGGTCGCTGGTTTGGCGGCCGGTTCTGTTGTATCCTGGTGTTGGGTCATCTAATTTTATTTGCTATTTCAGATGCACGAGATCTCGAAATCCCAGTCGTTTCACTCTCGACCTCTCCCTCTCCTTTTAAGTTGTTTATTTAAACAACTAAGGAATGTACAAGACACTGCAAAAGTACCTTTGTTTTCAACTTCTACATCATCGTAAAGTTTTAACTAATTTGCAAGTTAAGCTAGACACTCCCGCATCACTGAAATACAGCTTTTTCTAGTACCAAGTTGAAAATTTATCCCCAGAAAACGGTAACGAGGCGGAAAGTGAAACTGAAGAATGGCCTAAAATTTAAGACCTTGAGTAATAACTTTTTTCAATATGGGGTTGAAATTTAGGTGTCCCTCCGAGAGAACTAGTAAAATCTAAAGACAGGCAGGAGTTCTTCTAACCATCGCCCATAAATAAGCACACCATCTACTGCCATATGCAAGCAGATGCAATATCAACAGGTTTGACATCGATGGAGTCATGCCAATGCTGCACCTTGTTGTAGGAACAAAAAGAACTAGAGAGCCAATTTCATTGCCATTTGAAATTGTTCTGGAACACGGAGTAAAGGAGCTTGAATAGTACCAGGTTTGCCCAACTGACCACAGGCAGCCATCTGGTCGTCGCCTCTACTTAGTCGCAAGAAAACAGTCAACCCAGCTTCAGCCAAAACATTCCGAAACTCAATCATCTTCTCCCTGCGGGTAGGTCTGAACTGAGATCCACTATGTGGATTAAATGAAATAAGATTAATCTTGCATGGAATACCCTGGACAAGATCAACCAGCCTCTTCGCATCTTCCAGGCTGCAAATAAAAATACAACTAATTAGTATGTCAAAACAAAAGATTAGAAAGGACTGTAAAGATAAAGTTGATAAACTCATCAAGTCCACACCCAGATTAAGTCCAAAACATAGAAGTTGTAATATACCCGTCATTAACCCCAGCAAGCATCACATATTCAAAAAAAACCTTGTAATTGTGTTTCGAGCAAAGTTCCTCCCTTAAAGTCTGAAGAAGCAAGCCTAACTTATATTTCCTGTTAATTGGCATGATCCAATTCCTAACCTGCAACATTTTTCCATGTAAGAGAAAGCAATTCTTCATATTTTTTCTTTTTTGCACATTTGAGTTATGCCAACCGTTAAGCATGTACCTCATCAGTAGTTGCATTCAAACTAACAGCTAAAGCACAGTCACATTCACGAAGGAAACGTTTTAGCTGAGGTACAAGTCCACTGGTTGAGACAGTGACCTTGCGGGGACTGAAATGAAGGCCTTGTTCATGAACCATTATGTTTGCTGCTTTAGTGACATTGTCAATGTTGTGAAGTGGCTCTCCCATTCCCTAACATTCAATTTCAGTTTTTCTAAGTAAAACATGGAAAAGGATAATGGCTTGATACCACCATTATAAATGTCAAAACTTAAAAGGTTTTAACAGTCGATACAATGAAGAGAAAAGGCAAAAATACATAAGTCTTCAATATGACTGAAAAACGAAGAAATCAATAGAAATTTATCAGGGAAGAAAACTAAGAACGCAATAAATGGCTGCAAATTTTGTCCCTGCTAAGCATAAAGGACTTGTGGCTTGGAATAGGCTGGAAAATAACAGCATCAAGTCAACAACAATGATAAAAAAGAAAGAATGTTGCGCACACTTCAAACTAAAGCACAGCTTGAATGAAAGAAAGTATCATACTCCTATAAGAGCGTCAAACCAACTAGGACCACCCTCAACTAGATGTTACTTCTAACCAAATCCTATCCTTTTGGATTATTTCCTAAAGCGAGCTTAGTTAATAAACCACGAACTGAATATAGGGTAGAACAGCATGTCAAAAGAAATAGCAAACGCCCCAAAAGAGACTCAAGAATTTTCAATAATATTTCATTTTCCCTCTGGTATGTCAAGTAGTTTCAGATGTAAAACATACCATAAACACGACATTAGTAATAGAACCCACTTCACTAGTAAGTAAACGCCTGGCAAAAACTGCCTGTTCTACTATCTCAGCAGCAGTCAGATGTCTCTTCAGGCCCATCCTGAAAAATTAAATCAACATTCTCGTTCACAAGTACCACCAAGATCATGCCGAAAGCATCTATCCATTTGAAAAATTGAAGCTTGCCTGCCAGTGTAGCAGAATTGACAGTTCATGGCACAGCCCACTTGACTTGAAACGCAAACAGTAGTCCTGCCTCTATCGCAAGGTATAACAACAGTTTCTATTATCAATCCATCTTCCAGATCGAACAAAATCTGAAATGTCCTGATAGCTTTAAATTAATCAGATGAATCTTGAGAGCACAAATCCAAAGAACTAAAGCCAAGCCTAATGATTTTGCTCAGTGGAGCCGGAACCAATACAGAAACTAGAAGCAAAGAGAACTGAATGATTATAATAGTTCCATCAGATGTAACAATACACACCTTCCTAGTTCCATCAGATGAAGGGAGAATTTCCCTCAATGACAGCGCCCTGAATTCAGCGTTTTCAATCAACATTTTCTTAAAATATTTGTTTAAACCTACGAATTTGACAGCATTAGAAAATCCATTAGATTGAGTAGATAAGTTCCAAGTTACGACAAGAGGAAAGGAGATGAAGGAAAAATTCTGCCAACCAATAAAAATGTTAAAATGTAAAGAAAGGCTCGTATTCCAAATACACTGAGGAAGCAAGAACACCTTCTAATTCATCGCCGGTATGTGCCCAAATGTTATCTCCATAAAGACGTTTCCACAGCATTAAAGCTTGGCCAGGTCTGTATCCTCGTGATTGAACCCATTTCTATTGTCGTATATGTTACAATAAAAAAAATTGAGTGCGCGTGTAAGAGCAAAAGCTTTTCTTTATTAAGCGAGGAAGGAGAGACAAATAATTGCAGACGAGAGAGAGAGAGGGTTTAGCAGGTACTTGCCTCAAGCTCAGTGTAAGAGAGTCCCTTTAGAAGCACCTTGGAATCATTCTTCAGGATTTCCCTCTTGTCAGACATAACTACAAGATGACAACTATAAGAAAAGAGTCCGCAAAAGTATGATTCGGATGTAAATGGTAACAAAATAAACCGAATTGAAAAACATAGTTAAATGAAGCAGAGGAAAGGGAAGATAAGTAGTCAAACAATAGAGTAAAAGAATGTGAGTATACAGCCAAAGATATTCGGGAACTGACAGAAATCAGATGAAGAATCGTCAAGAGCAAATAGCGGCGTGGGTGAGGCGCAAGAGGCAGTTGAAATGGGGCGACTAGCAGAAAAAACGAATGAAATTAGGTGAAATGGTAGAGATAGGCGTGAGGAAGGGACGGAAAGGGGACGGAAATGCGATCGGGCAACGGCAAGGATAGAGGAGGCCATGGAAGCCTTAGGGAAGAACAGGCGTCTCATCCAAACACGGGAAATTGACCACCTCTAACTTAAATTCATTTTTTACTTATTTGTAAGCGCCTTCAGTCCTTCAGCACCTTCTTTTTGCCTCAAGATTTCAGATATTCTAACATTACAACCAATTTTCCCTATTTTTCTCAAACAACCTATTTAGATTTTTGTTGCCATATTTTGTTTACAATTTTGAATATAAATCGCAGGATTTTGGGATGGTTTGATTTAAGGATTTTTAGGAATTTTGATTTTCAGTATCATTAGGGATTTTAAAGTTTTGATTTTTGTTTGATTCGAGGATTTGGATTGTTTGATCTGAGTATTTTCAGGAATTCACATCCAATTCACGTCCGAGTTCTCGAGATCTTATGATTCACGCTCGAGATCTTATGATCCATGCTCGAGATCCTTCGATTCACGCCCGAACTCCTTCGACTCACGCTCGAACTCATTCGATTTACGCCCAAAATCCTTCGATTCACGCTCGAAATCGTTCAATTCACGCAAAATCCAAAACCAAAATCAAGTTGGTCAATTTCCCTCCAAACACCACCTATCTTCTTCCTCTCACGCTCACCGTCTCGCTCTCGGTGAATTTTATATGTTCGGATTGGCTCTATTAATTGGAGCGAAACAAGTAGTTTGGAAGCATTTTCAACTTGTTAAAATTATCAAAACTTAACTATATATCATAGAAGTTCGAATTCTAGCCCTGTTGAGAAAAGAAAAAAAAATTGTTGAAATTGTTTTCAATTAATATTAATTTATTATTTAATTAAAAATGAAAAATACTTACATATTTACACAATCAAAAAAATTATAATTACAATAATTATTTAAGAAGTAAAGAAAGAACAACAGAATATCATCAGATAAGTTGTCATTTTTAAAAAAGACAAAAATTGTTTTAAAATATAACTTCCAATTTCCAAACAAACGACCGCTTCACAATTCATGCTAAATTTAGAGCTTCTCAAAATAAAAAATTGTGTCTCACACAAACAACAAATATCCCTTGGAGTGTGGGCTCGATTTCTTCATTGATTACATAAATTTTGAATCAAGGGTTCTTGATCTTGATCCTCAATTTGCGAGCAATAAGTGGGCCTCTGGGATGGGCCGGCCTCTTGCTATTATTGCACTGTTCTACCTCCACCCAGTTGATAACCTTGAGTAGTAAAGACTGAGGGACTTTCCTGACATCCTCGTCTCCCACTCCCTTGGTCTTCTTCATTCCCGCTTCCAATGCTTTCTCTATGAACTCCATAAACCACTTTCCAGCTTCCGTTTCAATCTGCTTTCCCAGTTTGATCGTGTTGCTCAAGCTGCAGCACCATGATGGTGGTGGTATTGGCATTGCTACTGCTTGAGGCTTCTTATTTTCATCATTCTCCCCACTACTACTCATATTCATACTCATACTGCTACTATTACTACTAGTAGATGCTGTGGGCAGGGGCATTTTCCCAAAGTTGGTCTTCTTCTGCTCGCTTCTTTCCGGACAAGCTGCTGCTACTGATTTGTACAACCCGCACCTTCTTCTCGATAAACTTGAATCTGGATTGTTATTGGAGTTGGGTGTGATTTCGCTTAGTATGGAGGAGGAGGAAGATTCTTCTTCCTGCGGTTGCTTTTTGGAATTCTGGTTTTGAGCCGGTTCAGTGGCGGCTTGAATCGACACCATATCACTCACTGCCTGCACAATTTGGTGGTGGAATTCAAGAAACTTGTTGAAACAAGTGGCAGGAGCGTCGGCTCTAGCTGATTTACTCAACCGAGAAAGCATCCTACACAAAGTCACCACCAAAAAACCGAATCTTTATCTTCATCATATCAAAAAACACACTATTGACTACTGAGAGAGCGAGTGTCGGTGTACCTGAGAGATCGAATTAAAGCTTCCGTGGCAGTAGCACCTCTCAAGGCTTGGAGGGCGATCTTCTGAGCCGTATCTCTCTGCTGCACAGCTTCCTGACAAGTTTTATAATAACAGCCATTAGGATTTAGGAGCAGCACCAAGAAGTCCAACTGGGTCAGGTCAGTCAAGGATATATTAATATAGCCGCTCATAGAGATTCATAATTCACCTTCCCTAATATGCTGAGTCTTCCAGGTAAGTTAATGGGAAGACTGGTGCTGTTATCAGAATCTAAATGGCCAGACTGGGATTGTCTGGGGGCAGCCGGGGTCCTTTGATTTCGCAAACTTGGGGGTGGAGTGGCGCTCTTCTTTGCTGCAACAAGCTAATTAAGAATTAAAAACTAAAAGTGAACAGCCAACAGCCAATAGCCAATAGCAGCACTTTCTTTAACAATAATCAACAATGTGTTATGTACCTACAGCTGAGTTGGAGTTGAAGGGAGTTGGTGATGAAATCCTTGGCTCTCGCTCCGAAACGCTCTTGCTTCTAGGGAATTTTGATGCACAAGGAACAGCACAGCTTTTCCTAAGCATTGCAGTTGCAGGGCTCTCTCCTTTTGTATCCACCAGCTTAGCCAACAGCCCACCCCCAAAGGAAGACCGAATTCCTCCACTGGAGCTTCCATTTTTTCCTCTTACCATCGGAGACATTGGAAAAACGTTATCCCCGCCGCTTCGCTCCTTCACTGGCGTACACTGGCCGAAGTCTAAGGGAACGGGCTTCAAAATCATGGGTGAAGGATACCCATCTCCCACACTCTGCTCTGTTCCTGTTCCCCAAGAACCCCGTCTTGGAGCCGACACCTTTGCCTTTGCGCTCGCGCTTGACTTATTATCACCTTTTTCTCTCAAACCCATCAGCATCACCGGCTCCGGTGTTCCCACCAGAGGGTGCCGCCCCGGAAGTGGTTTCGCGCCTCTAACCACTGGCACGGGCGACCCAGGTTCCAATTTATCCACGTATATGAATTGACCAAGCTGCATTTTGTTGCTCAGAACAAAATCATCTTGATCCGAAGGGAGACTCACATAGATCGAGTGCGAAGAATCAGACACTTTGATATAGAATCCATGCTTCGGCCACAGGTTTTTCTCGTCGAGTTCCGCCGGGACAATATCCGTTACCTGTAACAGCGAGCTCCGGTGATCGCTCGTGGGTTTCACCCCGGAATTCATCCCATCAAGAAGCTTCACCACAACTCCCGGAGCCAGAGTCGCCATACCCTTTCAAGAAACTACCAACCAACAACTTCAATTTCTCTTCTCGGCTTGATTCTTTCACTTGTATTGCTCGCTAATTAGCATTCAATGTTTTCAGCTTCTGTCACTTGCTTTCATCCCACAAGAAAAGGGGTGGGTTTCAATTCAAGTGGCCGTTGGCGTTGGCAACGGAAAGGCAATCACAGGAAAACCCCAACTTTTTCAAATTCAGACTTTGTAACGTTGCACAACGGTCACATGGACCATCTCTCTCACTCTATTTTCAAATAATAATGCCCAAAATCATTTTTTCAGAATTAATTCCACGATCATTTATTATTCCATGTTTCCCTTTTCTTTTTATAACTTTGTTTAAACCATAAAAGAAAAGAAAAAAACTTAATTTAATAATTTAAGACAAAAATATATTTTTTAAGGAAAAATAAATTAAATTAAAGTATTTTTCACAAGCAACACCTGTCAAAAAACAATCACTGCCCGTAAACTCTAATTATTATTTAAAATACGATATCTCTAGAAATTTACTTCTTAAATTATTATTTCGTCAAAAACGACATTCAGATAAGCTCGTAGAAGCTTTTCTTTCCCCACTTTCCAGCTTTGAGATATGATACTTTAAAATCAATTTCTAAAATATTTCACGTGGAATTCAGATTTTACAAAACCATTAATATTTAAAATACGATAGTTCAAAAAAATATGAGATACTTCTGATTAATTTGGCTGATACGATAGACGAACTTAGAGATCATTTATTTGATAGACAACTCCATTCCGACTCTTTTCATCAAATATTTAAAAATAATTTTGAAATATATTACAAGTTACAAGATATTTTATATTTAGTAAAACAGTAAACTCACGAAATCTCGTAAGATAACGACAATTAAAGAATGTGTATGGTGGCTTCCTCTGGCCTGCAGGAGTAGGCACCTAATGATAATGAAACTAATATCGTTGGGTTTAGCTTAAAGTAAATTGTGCAGGATATAATTATAAAACACAGTTCACGACTGACCAATTGGATGTTACAGACATCAAATTCACCACAGTAAAGAGATGATACAATTATTCAATGTCATTGGTGTTGCTGAGATCTCAATATCCTACTTTTTCCGCAAAACTTTTATCAAAGAAGGCATACAGGAATATTCTGTCACCTCCCAACTCTATCATGGTTCGTAAACTCCGGAAAAGTGAGACAGCCTCTTCTTGGAGTAGGAACATCCAACTCAATTTGTAACATAAAAAAACATGCACTAAAACAAAATCCCCTATTCACGATTCCATCTGGCAATGAAACTGGAGGTCCCAGACATGTTATAGCGGTGTAGCAAATCCTGTACAACACAAAATACAAACAAAACTTTCTAAACAAAATTTGTGGGGGAAAAAAGGGAAGAGAAAAAGGGTAAATCCCGGGACTTCCAAAGTACCGCAGTCACGACCATTCTATTTTTTTCTTCCAAAATTACGAGTTGGGATGCAAAGATTTTCATTACACAAGAACATTATTCGAGGAGTAAAGTTAGGATGGAAATCTTCCAATGAATTATTTGAAAATGCCACTCGGGGGTTAATCCTATAAAAGCTATTTTTTGGCCACCAATGGTTAATAATACATTGAGCAGGTAGGAAAAATGGAGATTGTTTTGTCTATCAAAAGAGAACGAGTTGACGATGTGCAAAGGGTGCTATCAGCCATTCCCAGGTGTTACATGTCAGGTTGCATTCTTAGAGAGAAATATAGGAAATTTCTCTCAGCGAAGGGAACAAATAAGGCAAAATGAGGGAATCGATGGTGGCATCATAATGTTCAAAACCTTTTGTAGTGGATTGGGAATTAGAAACCTAAGGAAAAAGAATGAAGCTTTACCTTCAAAATGGGTGTGGAGATTTAGAAAAACGAGTTGTGGCATAATATAATGGCAACCATCTATGACAATGATGAATATGAGTGGCATAAAAAAAGTAAAAATGTATGCAATTTAAAGTGTCATATTCAAAACAAGAGGAAGACTTATTTTTGGAAGGATGAATCATATATGGATCGGTTATGAATCACTTGCTATTAAATTACCAAGGTTAATAGAAATATCACAAGTTTATGCTTTCCTGGAATTGTGGCTTGAAGATGCTGGAGGAAGAAATGGGTGAGGTTAAGGCTTTGTTAAACCAACTTGAAGAATTTGCTTCAGGTCAAAGGGAAGATAAAAAGAGCTGGACTTAGAGACTTCTGGACACTACTCACTTTCCCAGTGAAATCTTAGATTCAGGAGCTCGATTTGTCTGTTCTAATGTCAAAGCCAAAGGTATTGATGAAACCGTTACAAAAATTGAAAAGCCTGAAGGAAGTTAATGCTTTGCTTTGGAAATCGTGATACAACTGACAGAGGAAAAGTTCTAACCCTGTCCTTAGACCTAATTGCTGCATATTATGCATGAAGGGAAAAAGAGAATCAGCCACATCTATTCTTCTCATTGTTCCTGTAGAACAGAATGTTGAGAATTCTTTTTTCAATGTTTCGGCTGCCCTTTAGATGTTTGGTTATAGTCCTAAGAATAATTTCAGTCAGTTAGTAGGATGATGATTTAGTTTAAAAAGGAGTAAAAGTACTCTAGGATAACATAGTCAGAGTCTTCAAGAGAAACCAACGAATTCTTTCAAGGGAAAAGGAACAACTTGGAAGAAAGAGTTGAAAAAGTGAAGCATTATGTATCCGGTTAAAGTGCTCTGTCAAGTTCTTTTTGTAATTATAGTTCTCAAATTTATAATTCCAATTTCCAATTGGGGAGTTTTCATATAAAAGAATTATTTATGGTTTAGGTTGTAGCATGCATTACATGCATTGCTGCAACGAAATGTCTCCTGTTTTGAAAAAAGAAAGGTATGCAATAATATTAACCTTTACAAGAAACTGATAGGTAAAATCATGCGTATGGTACTTTAGAATTAAATGGATCTCAAGAAAATTAAAAGTTCAAATATTATTTTAGCCCTTATACTTTCTGTTTTGGTTCATTTTAGTCCATGTACTTTCGAAATGTTCATTTTGGTCCATGTACTTTCAACTATAGTTTAATTTAGTTCGTACACTTTCAAAATGTTCAATTTAGTCCTTGTCCCTATTTGGAAAATTTTGACACAAATTCTACACAAGGAAATCTAATATAAAGTCATGGTTACATTTTAATAAATATAAGGAGTGTAGTATCTGTTGAAGTTGTGATAGAAAAAATGAGATTAAAAATAAAATTAATGGACCAAAATGGTCATTTTTAAAAATTACAAGGACTAAAACGAACATTTTGAAAGTAAAGCGAACAAAAATAAACCAAAATTGAAAATACATAGACCAAAATGAACATTTTGAAGATACAGGGACCAAAATAAACCAAAGTTAAAAGTACCTGGACCAAAATAGTATTTTAACCAAAATTAAATTTCTCTTCCGAACCATGTATCTAAAAGTATTAAATATGGCGGAGAAATTTCAAAAGAGATATCACAATATTACTACTCTACAACCAAACGGGTCTGCATTTTATTGTGAAACTGAAGAAAATGTTAAAACACCATCTCTAAGGCTGTTACAGCAGGAAATGTTGGGAATTTTTACTGAAACAATTCCATGTGCCATGAGTTTGGGGGAACAACAAAAGGGGGTACTAACTACTATGTAGATTTCGTGGGGCCATAAATTGAGAAGGAAAGTGAAAATTCTATGGATAAATGCAGTAAAAGAAACCCTTAGGAACATCCGGCTTGTGAGGAACTTCTGAATATTCAATGGCAAGAAAAATGGGTTTGGAGGAATTGGTTGAGCTGGCTAAATTTACACTTCTTCCAGATGTTCTTTCTCTAATTCTTTTTATAATTATTAAATTTCAGGGTTAACTCAAATTGCAGTGTTTTTTAGTAAATCACGTTATCGGATGGCCCAGAAGGAACTAGTAAACCACGTTATAGAAAGTGGAGTGGGTCTACTATAACTCTACACTAAATCAATGAATGTGCTCATCATAACTTGGAAAGGAAAGGTACTCCATTTAAAAGCAGATAAGCTAGAATCTCCACTATTTGGTATGAAAGAAACAAGAGGATCTTCTGAAAGTCTGTTCCATGGGAAGAAAGATTGTAGAGACAATCAAGTTCATGAAGCTCTTTCGTGTCTTTCTCCAAATCTTTTCAAAATTAATCTATCACTAAGATTAACCCAAATATAAAAGTTTTATGTAAGTTCCCATAGTTTTATTATTAATAGTTTTGCTTCTATTAAAGTAAGATCATTATCGTGTAATTTCAAGGCTGTATCTATATTAGTTTGCGGTATGGGAGGGTCTTTTTCATTTTTCTGTTTATTTTTTGGTTTTTTTATGTAGAAAGTTGAAAGTTTGTAACTAGTTTTTGTTTCTTATCAAGATTTTTTTTTTTTTTTGAGGAAAAAAAGGCATACAATGGAATTAGTATGCATACTTGACCAACTCATGGGGTTAAACCACGATTTATCGTAAGCATGCTTTTTGGAATTAGTAGTAACTTAAAATGGAATTGAAGCAAGAGATGCTGTAAAACAATCCTTGCATCCTTCAACATTTTAAAATCAACGGTCTATGACTCTATGTATTGAACGACATTAACAAACTAAAATTCAATCTCACAGAAAATAGCAAAACCAATCCAAAATATTAAATTAACTCTAATCAAATAGAAGCAATTAAGCGTTTAACTTTTAACTTTTAAGAGTAGCAGTAATTTAACATAAAGACGGAAATGAAAAGGTTAACACTGACAATTAGAAGGCATTACCGTATATTTATTACATGAGACGTTCTTTTTTTCTTTTTTGATGTAGGACGGGAGAACATATGGGTACAAGACCGAGCACATTATTCACTCAATGGAGTCGTTGTTGGATATTATCCAGATGAAAGTGAAAATATAGTTCTTATGGGTGGTTTAATAAGGCATGTACAAATTAAAATAATAATAATAATAAAATTAGACCCTTTCCCTTTGTGGTATTCCACCCCTTAGCTTGATAAACTACTATGAAATAAACGTAATAAGTAGACGAGTTGGAAATTTTAGGTGAGCTCATTTTGAATGTATGGAAGTGGAGATAAAAATTGAAAGGTTACCTTCAGATAGACAACCCCAACTGTTGTTATGCAAAGAAAGCAACGAAGTAAATAAGGCAGAAGCAGTAACACTGTGCAGTGGCATTAGCGACTGCACACTTGACAGCTCCACTGGAAGCCTGAAAGAGTAGGCACATTTCGCATAAAAACTCATGAGCCGTCGTGATTATCATCTTCAGAAAGTAGAGGAATGCAGAGAATCCCTCAAATTGAACGTGAAATGGGAAAAAAACAGACGAGTTAACCCAGTAATTGTACTTAAGAAACTGGGGTCAATACTATACTGGGTTTCAGAAGAGGAAAATGGCCACCTTTTAAGGGAAATAGAAGCCGATCATGACATGGATCAAATCCAAGAAACTAGTAAAAACTAAAAAGAAGAGAAAGGAAAACGGTATGGCAAAGTAACTTAAATGCTCTCTATGAAAATTGAGAAATATCAAATCTTAGAGTCAATAAGACGACCTTAAATCACTCATTAATGCTGTTTTAACATCTTTTTTTTTTTTTTTGGAGAAAGATTGTTGTTTCAACATCGAAAAAGAGCGAATGCCGTAACAGAAACAAGAATGAGAAAACCTACTTACCTGAGGTTGGTAAGCTTCTGAACAGAGAAACGGGGAGATGCTGCCGGCTTAGCAGAAGGAAGTCCAGTAGGCTTAGTGGGTCTGGACACAAAATGGGACGCAGACGATGAGGAAGAGGAACGGCAAATGAGAGTTCTTGTGGAAGAGGAGGACATTCGTAGGGTTTTCCAGGTACAGCAAGCCGCCATATTTCCTTGGCTCTCTGTTAGAATAGAATTAGAAGAGGAGCTGACCCTCGGAGGAAAACTTAGATCCGTTGGCGCTAGGGGTTAGCTTATGGAATTTCCTCGGGCTATTCCACGCTGGGCCTTCGTCTGTCCTCCAAAATCCAAATCGTCTGACCAAGATCGGGAGTGCTGACGGCCGAAGAAAGAAAAGCCCAGAAGTACTACAGAAATTATAGTGGGTCTGTTTGGAGTGTTGTTTTAGAAATTTATTTAGTATAAAATTTTAATTTTATACTTTTAGATTTTGGATCTTATTTTAGTTTCGAATTTACTCATAAATATTGTATTTATATTTATTATAGTTATTTGTTTTTTAATATAAAATATTTAATTTCATAAATTATTATAATAATCTTTTAATTATTGTAGGTCTCATATTAATTTTCCATTCAAATCTCTTAATTCACTCATGAAACCTCTTAATTTATCTATTCAAAAAGATTGAGTTTCTTTATTTACCAATATTATTAATTAAAAAATATCCAAATCTTAATTATTGTGGGGGCAACATCTTCTCATCATTCTCATTTCTACTACTCCTTGACTGGTACAATTCTTCCTTATACTCATTCTTTGAGTTTTAGTTTTTTATTTGATTGCTTGAATATTTCAACAAGTATAGTTCATTCATTCATATCCATATTGCTTGAATATTTGCACAGTCGTTCACATTGTTTTATTGTGTTGTTTGAATGCAAGGTTTGTTTGAATGAAATCAATTTTATGAGGTTTAGATGCTGATTAATTTGGCAAAGTCTTATTTGTACTGTGTTTGAGGTCATCTATGGCTCCCGCTAGTTTTCAAATGTCTAATTTTATTACTTTTTTGTGTTATTTATCCTTTAACAGAAGATAATTAATGGGAAATACGTATTGATTAACTCTAATATTCAAAGGAGAAGAAAAACACAGTTTATCTATTACATCGAAGGAAATACGGGTATGAATGAATGTTATTTTCTTTTTTTAAATTACAGTTTAGCTATTTCTATATATGGGTATAAATTATAATTTTGTTATTATAACATATATTCTACTTGTACTTTTGAAATTTCAATCACTATATCTATGAAATTCTATAAGACAGGGTAATAAGTATAACATATTGAATATACAATATATTCGGTATAACATAGACTAAACTTTTCGAGATATAAAATTTATCCGATATAATCTAAATCCCGTATAAACTTCGATATCTTATAACTTTCTCCTTTAGTTATTGCTTTAATTCAAAATAGTTAATACTTAGAGTTAGATAGGTACCATAAGACATTTTCAGTATGTAGGCACAATGTAAAAATTGTAGGCAGAATGTAAATCACAATCAATATATATCCACAGAATAATAGAAACATCAGAAAGTCAAGATGTAAATCACTAACGGTATATATCTACCAGTATAATAGTGTAGGCAGTATATATCCAACAGATTTTTAGTTTTAAATCACCATCAGTATTTATCCGGATATATAAAACTTGAGTTATAATATATATCCTAATATAATCACTATACTATATATATATCCTCACATATACAATATTTCAAACAAACGAAATCAGAAATTGAAACTTATCAAGTGGAGTGCAAATCCTTCAAATTGGAGATGAACTGCTCTAGCGACTGAGAAAAATGGAGGACGTCGACGGAAGACGAATGCAGGCAGAAACTACTGGAGAATAGGAACTGACGGAATGAAATGCTCTTGCAAAGGTGGTCGAAGATGAAATGCTTTTGCGAAGGCGACCGAAGATGAAATAATTTGCAACAAAGAAAAGCGGAGCTGCCAGAGAGGAAGGGAGACAGCAATGACGGTCGGAGAAGAGGAACGGAGGTTCAGAGGAAGGAAACCCAACGGTCGGAGGAAGGAAAGAAAAACGAGGAAGAAGAATGGAGGTTTCAAAAGTTTGGTATTTAAAGATTTTTCAATTTTGGAAAGTGTAAATTTTAAGGGATTTAATGGATTTAGCACGTTTGAAGATTTCCTCCCAATTTACCAATTATATATTTTAATAATTATTTAATATTGAGATGGGTCCTAGTAATTGTTTCATGTAAATTCTATTTAAAATATCAATATTTCATGATATTCGACCTTTGGTCGAAGATTTGAAAACAAACAAATTTAAAAATAATGAATCCAATCAAAAATGAATTATTGTAATTCATGTTTTTTGTATTTTCATATTTGTATTTGGTATTAGATTCGAAAATTAAATCACAATTTAAAAAATTGTTAAAGTGTTTATGGTTTAGAAATATATTTGTAAATTAATGCATTTACCAACAAAATACTTATTTTAATCTAAAATAATATTAATTAATTTATTAACATATATATTATAATATATTATATTTTTTAATTTCTAATTTTAATAATAAAAATAAATAAGTTTATAACATGAAATAGTACATTTGTCAAATTTTTTTTATCATTTTAAATTTTCAAATTTTAATTTTAAAAACATAAAAATGTTTTTTTTTTAAAAAAATCTTTTTAACTGTCATAGTTATTTTCAATTGTCTAAGACTGCTACAAACTGTGCSGTAAAAGAATCACCTATTCGATTTAGCAGAAAAGAAGTAAAGGAGAAGTAAAACTTGCGAGTAAAGATTYTAGAATTGAACTCCCAAAGAAGAGTGCATTATCTCCTCATGAGAAATTTAAATCCTTTTGCATTAGAAATATTAGAGACTAGATTCTAAATCTATGCATTTTCAGCCACCATTGCTTTGCCGTATTTATTATTATTATTATTATTATTATTTGGGATTTGGAATGCATGAACATGAAAAATGCAAATAAAGAAAATCATGCCAATATACCTTTCTTTCCTCTTTTTTTTTTTAATTTTTATTATCTCTTTCGTGTTTATAGGCTTTTAAGAGCGGGTCCCATTTATTTTCCACTTAGCACTACATATGAAATTATTGCACGAATTCGTTGAGTTGGGAAAGATTGTAGGTGGTTCGAGATGTACTGCCCCGTAACAATTGGTCCTATCCGGATATTTCCCTGCTCGCGTCAGACTCCCTTATACGACCTCCGGTCTATACGTTTGACCGGTCCCTTCTTTGCCTTCAACAATGAAGTCCTAGCATTTCCACTTTTTACCTAAGTTTTTTGGTCCTGACCTATTAAGTCGGCCTTCTCGAAATCATTCTAACCGGTCGGCCATGCACAGTTGGCCTCCCAACATCCACCTAAGTGGGGGCAAAGAACCTAGGTAACAAAATTGCCCCTTAACCTCCTATAACTCCCAACTCAACCATTTCCACAATAATCACACGTAGTATTAAGTAGAAAACAAGTGGGACCCGCTCCAAAATACCGGTAAAATAGACCAAACCAGATTTAAATCTCTATAGACACGTACACAAGACTATGATTGCTCATCTTCAGGTAAAATAGACCAAACCATATTTAAAAAAAAAAAAAAAAAGACCATACCAAGACTAATTTGAATAATAGAGTGTTTGCTACTTTAACTTAATTTTTTTTAGGTGTTCTTTGAATTAACTCCGTTCCCGGTAATAAGAATTCTACAGAAATGGGCCACCTTTACAATTGTGAAATTTTTAATAAAATTATATATTTTTTAAATTAAGATCTCTGGACTACTTAAATAGTTACCAAAGCTGCTGTGGGTGGTGGCCATGGGTGCGGTAACGATTAAAACCTTGCTGCATGTCAAGAGAGCACATTGAATTACTGTGAGGGGATTTGTTTTAACTGTGATGGGTTGTTATATTGGAGGTTATTGTTGTCTTGATCACTTTAATAATAAATTGAGGAGTACTATTCTAAGTGGTCAAAATTATTCTCCCGTTTCTGTTTTAGAATCTAAGAGTTCTATTTAGAAAGTTGTTATGGTATCAGAGCTTTGAGTCAAACGACCTAAATCAATGGCGATTTCTTCATCCGAAACTGATTCCACAGTAGTGAATCAGAATTCAACGATCGTAAATCCTGGGAACAAAATCTCAACAATCAAACTGAATGATGAGAATTTTTTACTCTGGCGATTACAAATAACCACGGCGTTGCAAGGGCATGGACTCGGGAAATTCATCGATCCTGAAGCGAAAATTCCGTCCGAATTTGTTCAATCGGCCGATGAATCTTCGTCTGTACCGAGTCCAAATCCAGAATTCATCAACTGGAAACGCCAAGATAAACTGATCACGTCATGGCTTCTTGGATCGATGTCTGAGGAAATCTTATCGCAAATGCTAGAGTGTGAAACTGCACAAGAAGTCTGGTCAGTCCTTAATACTCTTTTCTCTTCGAGAAATCTAGCCAGAGTTATGCAATTAAAATCTAAGTTAGAGAATACAAAGAAAGGAAATCTTAGCCTCAAAGAGTATTTCCTGAAAATAAAGAATATTGTGGATTCTTTAAATGCGACTGGAAAGAAAGTGTCCAAAGAAGATCATGTTATGCATTTGTTAGCAGGATTAGGAACAGATTATGATCCTACTGTATATGTAATTGTTGCTAAAATCGGTACTCCATCATTGCAATAAGTTTATTCTCTACTTCTTGCACAAGAAGGAAGAAACGAGAGGAATATAGTAACTACTAATGCGTCCTTACCCTCAATAAACTTGACTACTCAGCCAGAGCAACCAAAAAGAGCAAACTCATCTAATTTTTCTGAAAATAGAGGTAATTGGAACAATAACAGAGGAAGAGGAGGAAATCGATCAAATCGTAGCCGTCAGAATAATAACTCTAGAGTTCAATGTCAGCTATGTGGACGGTTTGGACATACAGTGCTACGATGTTACCTTCGGTTTGATCGTTCATATCAGGGACATAATGCTACACCGAATCATTCTTTTACTCCTATGAATAATACATTTTTTATGAATCGTTCATGCAATACCTTTTCTCAGGCTCAACAACAAGCACCATTGAATGCTCTGATGGTTGCTCCGGATCTTAATAGAGATACCAACTGGTATCCCGGCTCAGGTGCTTCAACACATGTAACAAATGATTTTGGCAACTTCTGGGAGTAACAAAGTTCATGTGGGAAACGGTACAGGTCTGAAAGTTCATCATATTGGATCATCTGTTCTTCAACCTTCCGATACTGCATCTTCTTCTCATAAATTTTTACTTACAAATCTTCTTCATGTTCCCCAAATTACCAAGAATCTAATTAGTGTTATACCTTTGCTAAAGACAACATTGTGTTCTTTGAATTTCACCCATTTTATTGCTTTGCAAAGGACATCAAAACTGGACAAGTACTTCTCGAGGGCAAGGTTTCTGATGGACTCCCTGCTCTTCTTCCATTACAGATAACTCTTTTCATCCTATTTCTACATCTCAGGTTCATCATCTCAATATTAGTCCTCCTTTGTCATCTACAAATTTTACTGATATACCATGTATACCATCTGTCTTTGATATTTGGCATTGGCGTCTTGGTCATCCCCAACCATCTACTGTGAAGCATGTACTCAATTCATGTAATATTTCCTTTTCAAGTAATAAAAATACTTCCTTGTGTCATGCGCGTGTGCCACTGGCAAAATCCATTCTCTTCCTTTTTAGTCTGCCCCTTACAATTAATACATATTAATGCCCAAAGTTAATGCCATTAATACATATTAATGTTTGAGAGAACAGAGAAGCAGTGTTTTCAAAATTTCATAACTCTGCCTTTGCAGTTTGCACCCTCTCCTCTCTCGCTGCAAGTGCAAGTGAACAACTCAATCAAAACAATTAGCTTAATCATTCACATTTCTAACTTAATTTGTATTCTTATTTTTCTTTACTGCCAGTGCCTGTTAAATTATGTCAAAATCAAATTTTGGGTTGGTCTAACTTCAATAACCAAATACACACAACCTCGGATCAGGATATGTTTTTTCTCACGGAGTGATCTCTCTGTATTCTTCTTTCGATTTCATTTGGCCTTTTATGGATCCAAGTCCATTTATTTTCTCAGCTCTCTCTTGTTATGCCATTTCTCACAATTAACCAAACTCCAAATTCAATTTTTAATTTTGACCTTGCTCTTTTAAATTTTAAAAGTTTTGCCTCTAATATAATAAAAATTTTCGGTTACAAATTCTGTTGAAAAAAACAACTATTAAATTACCCATAAATCCTCCCACTTCATTTCCTTTTTTTCCCCTTGAGTTGCTTGAACAAGACACTTAAAATTCTTTTTTTTTTTAAATACTTTTTTTTTTGAAAAAGATGGGTGGAAGCAATAACAAGAATCTTTGAGTGGAAAGTGAATATTAACTGCCAAGACTATAGTTAAGAAAGTCTTGACTCGGTAAGTCGCAGGTAGATGACTTCTCTTGCGAGAAATCAATTTTCACAATAAACTTTCAATTTCATCCAATTATATTTACAAGTTGCAATTTTTACTCTTTATCCAATTGTCACTAATTCACCCACTCATTTTTATAGTAAGTTAAGGTAAAAATTTTCAAAAACTTGAAATCGAGTTTCACATAAAATTAAGTTTTTGCTCAAAATCAATCATTAAATAACCTTATCAAAACTCACAATTTCAACCAATAAAAAAATCATATTTAATGTTGTTTATATTTTAAATCATGCTGATGTATTCTTTAACAGCTCAGCTACAGTTAAAGGTTAACTTGCTTTGTTCACCATCTTCCATCTTGTACACTACTGCACACCTGGATGCTGACTGAGTTCATTTGCATCCAACTCACTTTTATACAGAAGCGTTTTTACATTTACACTCTCAGTGAATTTCTGCCAGCACATGAAGAAGTTTGTTATGCTGAATAGAGTTGGTTATCCAGCTCGATAATGGGAGCTCCACTGAGAAGTTCTGGATCCATCTATTGACAAGCATAAAAATTTATTCTCCAGTTTAAGCCTTAGGTTTTCAGGGCAAAAATTGAGGGGTTGAAGGTAGACTTGTTTTTCGGTAATGTGAACTGTATTTTAGGGAGTGAGAGTAAGGTGGGGAGTTGAAAATTTCTGGGTGTTTTATCAGATCCGTTAACTGATAGGTCTGTGATAGGTTTGAAATGTCCGCGAGGATTGGGTATTGTTTATGCAAAGATGTGCACAACAGTGTGTTCCTGATTGTAGCTCGAACTCGGCCTCTGTACCGACCTGAACCTTTGGGCGGACCTGCACAAAAAGGTGAGCACTCCGACGATCAAGTCAGTATAGGTCGGATTCCAAGTTTAGTTCGAAGCCAGAAATCATCCTACCTGATCGGGGAGTGAGGTCCTCTACTTATGGGTGATGGTCCCGCTAATCTCGCGACGGTTACACTTGGTAATCTCGGGACCATCGATTACACCCGGTGATCTCGGGACCGACGGTTACGCCCGATAATCACGCCGCAGACAGTTGCTCACATCGGCCCCTACCGAGCTCCCTGGTAGGTCAGACCTGGGCCAGGTTCACCTCGGCCCTCATACTTAAGCTTTCGTCGGCGTTGGTGGCTGCCATCTCGGCTCTCCGAGCTGGGCATGACTCGTGGGCCACCTTGGAGTACCAATAGGGGTCTTCCACGTGTCCAGGGTATACCTGTTTGATTGCTCTGTATTGACGATTTGATAGAAGATAGTGAAAAAGGGCGCAGATGTAGATCAATTATGATCGAATCGAACCACTATAATTCAAATATTTTTTTCTTTCTTTAGGTTTGTCGTACACTTATATAGGTAAGGAGTTCTTAATTTTTGGTTAAGCCGACAATTAAAAGAAACCACAAAGAGTGGCGACCAATTTTGTGTTGTTGCACAAAATCAAAATAGCGATAGTGGCAGTGTATTGGCAGAACAAGAAGATGAGATCCCAGTGTTATATGACATCGTCAACAGCCAAATCTCGAGAGTATTGTGAGGTTTTCCATTTTGTATTTTCTAGGATTGTATGGTTGTAGTTCCTAAAAACCATGTGACGACTTTTGTTGATGCCTCTAAATTTGAGAGATTTTATTGTCTATTGTATTTATCTCATAATCATAGTAGAACTCACATATGAGCAGAAGATTAGATGGGTGAACCACTATAAATTTTGTGTCGTTTTTGTACTTTTCTTATTTTTCTTTTATTATTGTGGTTGACTTATTTTTCACTGACAAACTAGGAAATATTATTAGTAAGTAAATTTTAACAATAAAGAGTTCTGTCTTTTTTTTTTAACAACTCTGATTTGATTTCTGTTTTTATCCATTTTTAATTGTGTTGCTTTGATTTTTTACCACACATGCCAGACATGTGTTCTATAATTCATGCAGATGAGAATATTATTTTTAACTATTATTCAAAGAAAATTTTATAAGGATGATAAATACCTTATCCACTCAACTATTGATATCATTTCAATATTTATAGATTTCATTCAAAAAATTAATTAGTAATAAGAGAAGTAGTCAATGGATTTATTAAACTCTGTTAAGTCTCTCATCATTTTCAATGCAGTATCCTTAACAATATAAATTTTTTAAATATTTTTAAAATAATGCAAATCAATTCAAATTATAAATTCAAACGGAAGGGGTAGGGTAGAAATTGGAATACCAACCCTGCTTCCCCTCGAGGAATAATAATAATTTGCAACTTAATAAAATAAGTGTAGGAGTTGCCCTTTCACTTTCATCTTTTGCTAATGCTCACCTACTCTACCCAACCTTACGACCCTTCATATCCATAAAAATATATACAAAATATAATTGGTCCATGAGAAACTCTACCAGACCGCACCTTCACATCTCCTTGCTTGAACTCTATCTCCACGAGTGCTGGTGTCATCACCTGTTATGTTGTAAGATTTTTATCTCCATTACAACTCTACTATGAAATAACCCATTAATTACATGTCAATTTAAACATAATTCAACGGGTTAAAGACAATAATATTTGAACAAAAAATAGTGAGTTTGAATATTTCACACTCAAAAAATAAAAAGAAAAAACCTATCAATTAACGTGCGTGCTAAAAAAACCTCTTAATTCACGAGGAGTTTTACTACCAAGGAAACTACTAAAAATCATGTTTAAATTTAAAAATGGATACCTTCACAATAAATATTTAATATAAACTTTTTTTTCCGCAATTGTAAAATTTGGTCATGTCCAACTCCTTTTTGTTATTATTATTTTTTAGTTCAATATATGGAGAAATATATACTGAGTCATGCTCACTTTGACAACTATTTTTTTTTTTTTTGTTATTAGTCACCTACATGGATTTTAAGGGCATTTTAACAAAGATCACACAAATGCTAGTTGAATTTTTTTATAGAGGTCTTTTTTGTAGGTGGTTAAATGATTTATAGGATTAATTTGTGTTTGTACATGTTGTTTGAAGTTAATATGTTATTTTCTTCCCAAAAAAAAAGTTAATATGTTATTGGTGTTTTAAATAAACAAAAATATATCGTGGATTGTGTGGACTAATTGGAGGATGCACTGCATTGGAAACCCAAAAGAGGAAGCATGAATGTGGTTAGTTATGATAGCTTATATGTTAAAATGAAAAGAGAAGCATGAAAAATAAAAATAGTCGAGTGCGTGCATGTGACAAGATGCTTGGATCATGGATGAAAGAATAAAAGTTTTATTATTTGCTTGGTAACGTACTGTTTACTTAAAAATAGAATTATATGTCTCCAACGTCCATGGATTCAGAAATGATAAAACTGTATTCTTATTTATGTTTTGGACCAACTTAGAAATGGGAACAATAAACGATCAACTTTTGTTTTATTGTTTCCAAATCCTAAAAATAAAATAAAAAACTGCCAAATGCTACCATTTCTTAACAAAACTGGAACAAGAAGTAGGCCTTAGATTCCAAAATGCAAAGTATAATTAGAGCTCATTGCTATCCTTGTCTTTTTATCCGTTCTCATCAACCTCAAAAAAGAGAACATCTGTCTCAAATCTTGTTTATTAGGTAATATACTTTAGTTTTCAAAGTTGGGGTGAGACATAATAAGTGTTGTGAAGGAGGGGAAAAAGTAAAAACGTCTTTTTCTGCTATGAAATTGTGTGATTAAACAGTAAACGAATGGGCATAGAAAAAGAAAAGAAGAAAGAAAGAAAGAAAAGACAAGAGTAGTTTAAGTTTAAAAGAGAGTGTGAGCTGTGTTATGGCATTTCCCTCACAACACAACAAAGCAGCGGAGGGACGAGGCACATAGACATGGCTACAGGACCACCTCATCAACATCTCATCTTTTCGCACAAACAAAACAATTGCTTTCTCCCCTTTATTTACTTCCACCTCTCTCTCCTCACACATTCATTAACTTGTAATTCGAATTCCCATGAAATTCCCTTCCATTTCTTCCACGAATTTTAAACAACACTAACTTGCAACCATCACATTCACCCTTCTTCCAGAAGCCAAGTTCGGACTGGGAGACGGTAAAACAAAAAGGAAAAAATATATATTTTTTAATCCATTGGGATTTCAGTCGAAAAAGGAAAGAAAAGCACACCATG